ATTTTACAAGTCACAAATCAGTCAAACTGATGTCAAACTTTGGTGATTTATAAAAACTAGGTTACAAAAAAAGAACAGTCAACAATCTGACATATGTATAGCGAATTAAGTAGCCATTGATACAATATTTTCGTGACATCAATAAATTGACTTTGTACCTTGCTCCTATATCACTATACTTTTGTTTTCGTTTTTGATATTTTAAGAGGGGCACAAAGTACATCTAATACAAGGTATGGACATCTATTTATTTACTTTAGGTTCTAGCTTTCTATTTATAATCGAAACAGTAAAAATGTTTTTGTCCTTTTGCAACAATATTGATTTATTTAATATTTCATTTTTTGTAAAAGAAATAATGTCTAATTCATCCCAAGATGAAGACCCCAGGGAGCAGCTAGAGCAAGTTTATTTGAATGGATGATACTTTGAATTTAGAGAACTATAATAAGTACACACATCATTGTATCCCACAATGCGCCATTTCAAAACAGTAATATTACTTTGAAAATGCCTTCTGCTCTTTGTTATTTTTGGAAACCGCAAAAAATAACATGGATGTCCTTTTCATTTTAAATGAATGTTGATCAAATAAAAGCAATTTTTCTTTTTATAATAAGAAAATATCCTAAGAATGATTGATCAGAGTGTTTTTGACATTTCTATTTGCATCATAAAGAAAGCATTAGTAGCCCTCATCTCAAAAGAATAAATCATAACACAATATAATATAATATAAATGTCATGTTGCGGGCCGGAAAGTCACACTAATTTCATATTTGACATTTAAATATATATCAACTTACTTAGGTTTTATTTTAAGAAAAGTATTTCAAATAAAAAAGTTCATGATTACAATTTTACATGAGGTGGAATTTACAGATTAAACAGGAAGTTTCACATTCAGAAATAACATTTTACTGTCCGGAAAAGCCCAACAATATGTAGGGATGAATTATTAATTTTTCCTTTTAATATATTCCTGACTGCATAAACATAATAATTTAAGCAGTATTAACAAGCAGCCTATCGGCTGAGATAGCTCCGCTGTTAGCAATGCACATTTCAATTAAAGAACTGAAGACATGATTAGAAAATGAACAATATGAATAGTATCAAAGCAATCGGACTTACAGTTTTTAACAAGAAGTCGAAAATATCACTTTCTACCAAAAATGACAAAAATATTCACCAAAATTAGAGAACTGAAGATATCATCACAAAATGAACAAATCTGAGAAAGGTCTACATGTAGTATCTATATATGTAATATCAAAGCAATTAACCTATTGGTTTTTAACAAGAAGTCGAAAATATCACTTTTTACCAAAAATTACAAAAATATTCACCAAAATTAGAGAATTGAAGATATCATCACAAAATAAACAAATCTGAGAGAG